AGCTCGTAGGTTATTCAATAGCTTGAATTCTTCGATTTCAAGATAGGTCAAAGCTGTATGTAGAGGTTAGTACTATCTTGTAAAGTATCGAAATTGCATATTACATCACCACTAGACTATTGCAGTAGACCATTTACCCCTTTATTTCGATCTTACAACTGGTATACCATACTTTGCATTTATAAAGTTACGTTAAATAAATATAAGCTTTGAACATTAAATAACATGCACCCAAGTTGTAGTCCAATAATGGTCATTCTTTGTCAAAGAATTAGTCCTTACGAATTATACCTAGAAAATGATAGCCTCTGTAAGTCATAAGATCAATAGTATAACTTGACTGTTAAATTTGAGGCTATTTCATTTATAATTAATCTTAATTTATAAATGCATGGTGACGTCTATCGGTAAGTTCCGTACATTCTTGTTTTCTTTCACCTCTCACACCCGCTCTTTTAGCCGAGCTGCAATCAATATTTGAAGTTCAACTTACCTCCTTAATGATTTACAATAGCTCATACCTCATGACTACCTCGATCATTAGTCATCAGCATACCCCTTTTATTGATCTATTACCTCTACTAGCTAAATTTATTCAATATCACTTATTCTTTAATGAATCATCAACTTAGCTATGACCCGATGATTGACCACTCCGATTTTGAACATTAATTATTATGGTGATGCGGATAATTATTATTAATATCATCATGCAGCTATTGTTAGCTCATTATAATTACTTCTAGATTGGTAGAAAGTCACGAGAATTGAAGATGCACTATAGATTTTACAATATAGTGCTAAGGTAATAAATATTGTTGACAAGAAAAACGGCTATTTAGCCTATTGCATCGACGGTATGTATTTTTGTCATAAACAACATTGTACCTTGAAATAATTTATACAGAATATACATAAAGAAAAAAATAAAATAATGCAACATGCAATATCTTATTAACAATTAACTTATTCCATGACGTTCAGACAACTTGATTATACGATATTCTAGCAAATTATAACATCTATATCGATTTGATCGATGTATATATATAACGAACAAGATAGATATCAATGATGAAAAATAGGCCATCATTGGCATATGATGATCAATAAACTACGCATAGTAAATGCAGTAAGACAGAAGTCAATGAGATGATCGTATTGAATAAGTAGGCTGGTATCCGTTATCCTAGAAGAATTACTTATCCTTTTAGTCCATTCAGGTATAATAGTCGGGTCGAAGCGAATCAATCTTTCATGTTAGATCATTTTTAGAGGAAATGTTAAAAGTGAATCGATATGAATTTAAGCTAGCATCGTAGTCGTATTATGTTGGCAATTATACCAATGCCATTAGTAGACATAAATAAAAACCTGTAGACTCGGTTATTATTTTGCGGACATGACTATTGAGTTTGATCTGAATTCTATGGAACACGTTTACAGTTGATTGCATAGTGTAATGGTGTGATCGATAGTATGTGGGCCATTTGCAGACTGTATTAAAATAGTGCTAAAAATGAACAAAAGACAATGAACTTGGTTCTAGAAGGGAAAAATAGAAATATTGTTGTTCATATTCGTAATTGTTCTATGTGATGATACTACTGCTATTCCACGTCTTTACCTTTAACCTTTTCAATTGCTTGAATCTCATTATTGCACATTTACAGGTCTAACATTATGGATTAATTTTTTCTACCTTGAGTACACTAAGCCATCATATTTTCTCTATCCAATACAATGATAAAATGAAATAAATAATTAGTAGAACAATCGTATCGCACACTAACGGTAACGCATTATCTTATGATAGACCTTTGGAGGTTATTTGTAAAGAATCGTTATGTAGCAACGAGATAAACTGACCATAACAATTTATTGGTCACCGTGACAACGCTAAAGTGTTACCAAAATAGGAAATGGTATCTCACCAAGGCAAATCAGGTTATCAATCTTGGGCAGCAATGGATGGTATATTGATTGCATTCAGTTTATTTTAATTTGACATAGCAGAATAGCAGGGAAGTTTTTCAATCAATTTACAGATAAAAATTAGAATGATCGTCATGACTTGGACCTTTTCTAAACAGATAAAAGTTCAAATTTGAGGAATTCCTAATAAGTCTAGATTGCCTTAACGACCATTTTTGTTGATAGGCAACCAGATAAACACCTATTACTTGACAATAGCCGAGTCTATCATTAGTTTAAACTTTAAAAAGGCCATATCAATCAATCAAATCAATTATATCGGACGGAGTAAACGTACGTTGTATATCATAATAAGTTTGATCAAGAAATAAAATATGCGACTTTCGGTCAAAGCTATAGCTCATACTAGACTAAGATGGGTTCAAATGGAGCTATTTAGATGTTATTTTATTTTCCTTCTTTTCAAATTTTAACTGTATTATTAATTACTAATCAATTTTTTTGCCCCCATCCTTTGCATTACAATAAATAATCATAATAATGATAGTTCATATTGCATTATATTCAAGATATCGTCATTTTGACCTTTTCCTCCTCCCTTAAAAATATTTGAATATATTCTACTCAATATGATCAAATTAGGATATGTAGGGATTACAAATGATAAAAAAAAAATGACCCTTTTTTACTCAAGTTCAGGCTAAAAAAGGAGACGTTCCATCTTTTTCATCTTACCCACCTTTTTTCTTTTAAGTGCTCATTTCTCTTTTGTTTTATCGTTTTACGTAAAAGCAAATTCATTCATTAATTTATACTGCCATTACTAAAGCTGCATTACCACTATCTTTATTTTATCCGCCAGTTCATAGACATCAAGTATAACTGTGTAATATTATTTGATTATAATAGTACCGAGGCGGATATTGTTGAAATTAAAATTTTGAATCGATTGTGAACTGAGCCTGCTGATTTGTTGCATTGTATCTTACCATATATTACAATTGTTTATGGTTCACAATTTACCTTTTCTTTTCTCATTCATAACTAATAACACAAGCTAGTAATAAAGCTCAGAGCAAAGGGGTGGGCACAATCAGTTTTGCAGTTTGCTCCATCCAAGTTACACATACCTCTGCTTACAATCATTCAACCTGACCAATTTAAGCTATAGCGCTATACATCAATAACAAGGACTACATTTTTGCTCTCCATCCCTTTTTTACTTTAAATCCTCCAACTACTATTCACATATATATATAAATATACATTTATATAGAGAGGCATATATGCAGATTTGTCTCATCTCTCAACTGCAAATAATTTTATCCAATTTGGAATCTTAGCTTACCCATATACTAACTAATCCTCTCCATTCCTACATTTGAACTATTTGCAATCTCATTCCAACGGTGGCGTGGAATAAAAATATCATACGAAGTTGAAATAACTGCGGTAGTTATAAAACCAAGTAGTTTACATATTAAAGTAGCTAGGTACATATATGTGTACAAAGATAGAACAGCAGCAAGCCTTTTCAAGACATTTCTCTCCTTATTCCATCATGCCTAAATCATTCTTAGTCCGCAAAACGAAAGCCGAAAAAGGTAATGAATATATTTATAAGTATACTGTATATTTCAGTATATGAATTTAATGAATTATATGATTAGCCCTAATGAAAAATAGCATGATTCTGCTTCTTTTCTATCAACTTATGCATAACTCCTATTTCAGCATACTCATCTTCTTAATATCTTTGGCATTAATACGGATAAATGAGATATACTAGCTAAATATACTTATTAACACAGATTGCCTTAAAACGTTTTGTATTGAACTCTTACGCAATTCAGATCGTGATAAGCTCATTATTTGCTATTGGTATCATCTCATGCCATTAGAATGGTGTTTATTAAAAAATTTCTCACTATTTCGCTTTTTTAATCATGATATTTTTCGAGTCCTTAGTTTTAAAGAGACTATAATTATATAAGTTTCGATTTTATAAAATTTAATTTATAATAATCTTTAATGTTGTTGCACTGTCTTTTAAGCGAGCAGAAAGCTTAGCCTAGTAATTTCCTCTGCAGACAATATATATTTTCTTTTTGATGGCATCAAAATGATCATATGGTGTTTGAACGGGTATAGACAATTATAACCTATTAGATAATAGAACAAGATGCATTGACACTAAAAATAGTATAACTTTAATGGCAACGAGTCAAATTGATTAATTTTAAAGGAAGAGGTGATAGAATTTATGCATTCAACAAAACCAGAAAAGCAGAACAACAATTAATAGAATTTCTTTCCTGCTATATAACATACCTTTATATTTTATTATCTATAGCATAAAAAATATGCATTTCTACCTGCACCCTGCTATCCTATCTAATTCTTTTAATAATTACAGTGCATTTCTGTATATTAGTATAAAGGCATGGAAACTTAAAAAGAAGCGATAAAATAGAATAGAATTTAAGAATAAAATAAATATATTCATATCGCACGGCCTTCGTAATATATTGAAATAGAGATGAACTTGATAATTTCCTAGAAAAAGATAATAGATATTAAGATGATATAATATAATTGTATTATAATGGAAATGTGGACTATCTCTTGACATAGCTAAAGTTGATTATTTCAATTTTAAAGATCATCATGTGGCTAATAGTGAATGCTCCGAGACCGATGTTTCATCAGAAAGCAGTCCAGCTATGAGCCCAGCCACACCGGTTAGTCCTGGTACCGGTTTTCATGTTGTTAATATTCTTGGGCCGGAAATTTTAAGCCAGCAATGCCAGCCACCAACAGTAAATTATCGCCAACCTCATACAATTTTCCCAACGGCTGCTCCATCGCCTCCAATGCTCCCCTATCTAACTCTATTTCCACGACCATACTTTTACAATAACTACTATGTACCGCAAACGCCGACAATACAACAACAGCACCAAGCACAGCAACTCCAGCCTATCGTATCGAATCCCACTCTTCAGCAATCAACAGTCGTAAAATGTAGCTCGAATCATCAAGATAGCCCTGATGATGGTACAAGCAACAACCAGAACTCGAATAAAGTTCATGTATGCAAATATTGCAATCGTCGCTTCAATGCCCACTACAATTTAGTTCGTCACTTGCCAGTCCATACCGGAGAGCGACCATTTGTTTGCAAGGTGTGCGGTAAAGGATTCCGCCAAGCAAGTACATTATGCAGGCATAAAATCATTCACACAACAGACAAGCCATTCAAGTGCAATGTCTGCAATAAGTCATTCAATCGATCATCAACATTAAAAACGCATATGCGCATCCATACAGGATATAAACCATTTCAGTGCCACATATGCAAGAAAGGATTCCATCAAAAAGGCAATTATAAAAATCACATGTTAACTCATAGTGGCAGTAAACCCTATAAGTGTACCATGTGCAATAAGGCTTTCCATCAAATGTACAGCTTAACCTTTCATATGCATACACACAGCGATGTTAAGCCATTCAATTGTCAAGTTTGTGGCCGTGGATTTTGCCGTAATTTCGATTTGCGTAAGCATGTTCGCAAAGTCCATTCCAAGCAAGCGTATGCCGAATTAATCAAAAATAGTCCACAGGATGATGTTACTCATTCAGTAGCAAAGGAAGTCCACTAAAAAATCATAAGCTTGATTTCAATAATCTAAAATGGAAATTATACTCAATTGCACACATAGATACACAGTATATATATATATATATATAGTATATATGTAGAATATATGACAGAAAGATATCTAAGTGCAAAATCTTTTAATAATTGTTTAAAATTTTACGTAGGGTGTTTTTAATAATTTAGGCGTCAAGTTAAGCAGCAATGACTATCAAATAATACTGTTAGTATTACTAAGTAAATTCATTTATCATTGCTGGGTCAGTTTGCGCTCGTAAATATCGTCTAATGATTTTGTTTTTACTCAATATTACAGTAATCATATACAAATATCTTACAAATACTTAGGTCGATTTAGTTACAATTTTTTTCTTATTCCTTTCACTTTATCCATCAAGATAAAATCTCTTAACTAATTAATGTACATATCTATACATATATATATACGCGTATGTCTGCCGGACACTTTTTAATCTGTCAAAAGTGAGAAATATAGACAATTAGGTTCAATTTAAAGTTGAATGATTTATCGTCAAAATATATCGTACATATAATAGAGAGCTGTATTTATATCGTCTGCTGCTTCGGTCTTTACAGTGTTGCTCAACCGATTTCATTTTCTATTGTAATGAACACTAAGTGAAATAATATAAATGCTGAAGAAAATATTTCATGATTTACTCTGTCTTAATCTACTGGAATAGGACGATGAATACGATTGCTAACAGAATAGGTTCGAATTCTCAATATATAACCATAAGAGTGCGCTACTTTAACTTGAGTGTTTGGCCTATTCTTTTCTGCCTACCACTATCTGGCTACCAGCAATTTTAGAGGAAGCAATTCTTGTTTTATCTTGTACTTTATATCTTAATGTACAGAGGATATAATTATTTCAATTCCGTATTTACAACTTCAATAAACAGTCATGTTTGAAAGAAAAGAAAATGCCCTGAATTAATGCGACTTTTTAGCATGTTTAATATTGAAAATGACTTCTTTTACTACTCTTGCACTATAAGTTTTCTCATGGAAAATTACATTAAAAAATTAGCTTTAACGGCTTAGTAACAAGTAAAGTAGCGATTGAATAACCCCACAAAAACAGTCAAAGACTAATCGGAAAAAAATGATCTAAAATGTAATATCAATTAATTTTTTTCCTGGACAATCAACATTTTCAAGCTAATTTTTGACGTTAATGGAATAGAAAGTTCAATTGCCTTAATGATGATACAGTTAATAAAAATCAATATCGCATAGTAGCGTTCAATTAATTAAGATAGCAAGAATTGAACCGTTAAATCACTATATCATACAGCTTTCTATAGTAATATGAAAATTGTAATTAAAGAATAAAATCAGCGGAGAAGCCTTTGTGCTTTTTCACTTCAGGCCACTAAGGGGTTTTTCCTTCAATCCTTTTACGACCAAGCAAACAACTAAAAAATATCGCTAGGTGTACCAAGCTCTTGCTCAGCAACCACTAGATATAACAAATTGTAGAACAACAGTGTATATCCATTCAAGAGCCGTCTATTTACGATCCGCATTCTAATGTGACAACGGACATTGCTAGCGCATTTATAGAAGATCTCTGACTTTCTTTAAAAGTAGATTTCGGCAACGAACAATTTTATTCAATCAATAGATAATTATAAAACTCCAATACAGCCATTACTAGCATAGAGAATGGTAGCAATTTATTTGTTACTTAAACTATAAAATATCGGAATGATATATTCATAATAGTTGAAATAGTAAGCTGGAATTCATCTTATCTAAAACTGAAATGATCTTAGAATACTGTACTTTTTTAACAATGTGGGTAGTAACCTTAAGTTGATGACCTTTAATATAGTAAACTAGTCTATAGTATTAAAGGATAGCTTAATCAAGGATGATATTAAAGCAATATAGAGCAAAATAGCCCATAAGGTCGTTAAAGTTACCTATCTATTTGTATTTCTACCTTGTAAGATTTCATTCTAACTTTTATGTTACTGCGCTGCAGAAACGCTAGCTGCTTTTACTAACATTGATCATCTACATTGAATATTATTAATAGAACCTGTTTATAGCAATGCATAAAGATCCACAATATGGAATAATTGCTCAATTGCAATGCTCGCTTATATACAAGAAAATGAAGATATCTTTGATAGATTGATATTCATTTCTTAAATTTTCTTACTACTCTTGAGCGATCTAATTGAACGGCTAGCGTGAAAAAGCTAATATTACAACATAATTTTAACAATCAGTAAGCGTTAGCATTAATGAGTTTGGTGTGAAATTTGATCATAATAAAGAGGAAAAAGATAGCTTGTATACGGTATGTATTTAGACAAGTTAATAACTGCGCTTTCGAGGTGTCAATTTATTCTATCAATTTCTAATTTGAAAACACCCTTAACTCGACTACGATAATACCGAGACATAGGAACATTGGTATGTAAGAATAACTTTAAAAATCTGGACGAGTTGGTTATTTTACATTTCTTCCATGGCCGAGGACTATAAAAAAATTTAGCGCATTCTTCCTATTAGCGTTAGGAGCTATTCTATTCAAATAAAATCAAGGAGTTTGTAGCACGCTGCAACTTTATTTGCTTAAAGGCTAAATGGCTTGAACATTTTAGTCGACGTCTAAATTAATTTCTTAACTTGGAATTGATTATATGACGTATACGATATTGAAGATAATTTGAGATAGTAAAAGAATTACAGTAAGTCTTATGATATTGCCCAGAAATGACTGTATATTATGAGATATATTTTAATTTCGATGCAAATTTACTTTCGGCCCTGACCGTTATGAACTTAATGCGTACCGCGTAAAGGTCAGAAATGATGATTTTAGCTCAATCATGGCGCGCAACAGAGATATAAGTATGTCGCTGAATCATTAAAAAAGAAGTCTCCGACCTAAAAGTCTGCAATGATAAAAGAGTTCCTATTTTTATAATTACTATTTCATACTCTTGATATACAGTATATAACAATATTCTTTGATTTGCCGTTGAATAATTTTTCGTTCAATACAGTGTTACTGTGCATACTATGGGCAATGCATATAGAAAAATGTAAGAGTACTACTGTCGCTGATTGGAATATTGGCCAATGGATAGAATTAGCCAGTCTCTAATTTTATTATACAATATTGCAATTATTTGATAGTAAGAAACGTTGGATAGGAATATCTTCAGAAATCGAGATTAACTGGACTAGAGCAAAATAAATGAATAAACGGCTAGAAAAGCGGTCATTTTTTTAATATTTATTAGCTTTCAATAATTCTGTTAAGAAAATAATTTACCAACAATAAACAAGATAAAAACAGCTTTTCAGTTCTATAGCGTAAACAAGGTAAATTAGGTCAGTTTGTCTCTTTTAATAGAGTAATTATTGCAATGCTTAAACCGATATAATTTTGATATGGAAATGGTGCGTATGTAGTGATATTTAGAATAAGCGAAATTGATAGTTTCATGTATATCATGTTTGAATCATGATTTTATAGCCAATCATAAGCATAAATTAGAAGAATAAAGTCCTTCTTAACTGATGTAGTTAACCTTGTAAAAAAGCGTAGTATTACGGTAGTGTGGGATAGCGAGACCAAGGAAATTTATCCAAAGTTTACGCAATTAATTCTATCTATTTAGTTATCTACAGTATCCTATCAAAGTTTACTAGCATTGCTACGGAATAGTTATTTACCCATGAATACATGTAGAACTTTTTCGTCCCTTGATCGCTTCTTCATTGAATCACTAAGAAAATTGGATCAATCACTTTCGGTAAATATGCATGCATAAGGGGTTATTCTGGAGTCAAAAGATGATTATTTAAAGTTACTGTATGCATCAGTATCAGCTAATAAGCATGCATCCACAAATGTATGCCATGGACAAAAGAATATTGTCTGATCTAATTCGCTGCTAATCAAAAGCACTCTTCTGGGTGCTTTTGACTGAAAACAGAGTGACTCGATTGCAGCTTAAAAAAATTGATTTCAAGCATGGTCTAAGTGCTGTATGGATGACTAATATTTTATAAGCTTTTATATCCTAACTGGTTATTATTTAGCGTAAAAGTATAAAACGAAAACATTCTGTTTATTCCTTTCGCCTTTTGTAGCTGACATTATGCAACATGTTATCACCGCTGTAGAATAAGAGAAAAGATTAAAAAGGTTATAAAGTTGTCCAAGTAGCGATAGGATGATGGCATAACTTGAGAAAAGCCAACAAGGAAACAAAAACACAAGGCCCATGCTAGAACTTAGGATTACTTCTTTCATAGGTTAAGGTTACGCATGCAAGATCAATTGAGATGAACATAATTAGGATGCTTTCGTCTGAAGAAAATGAACATAATGACCGATTAATATATGCGCAAATGGATACAGACTGGTGTTAGTAGAGAGGAGGAGCTGAGGGGTGTGAATATTGATCAGAGCCTACGTCAAAGGTTGATTCAACAATAGCGTCCTATTCAAATATCAGTCGATGAGTACAATATTGCGATGTTATTTTCCTCGATCTTGATCAAGGTGATTTTTGAGTTCATCATTTTAGAATAAATTAAATAAATAGGATTATCACGCGCTGGAGTTAACCTATCGGTCATAAAATTTTATAAACAACATTTGTAGATGATGGATGGAGATTGGAGACTGTCAGTACTGCACTATCCATCATCAATAGCAATAGTTTATCGATGATGAGGGAAAATAGTATAGCAATAAAGTAGTATTCAAGGATCATTCTTTTGATTTGTATAGCAATCAATAAGATTTTACTTACTAAACGGGAGTAGGAGCGACAATAATAGCGCAAGATAATGAACGAGTTACTATGGGGGTTTCATGACAATAAGACTCTTGTGCGACATGAATATTCAATAAAGTATGCTACGTTAGCTAGA